AAAAAAAAAAATGCTTCAGTGAATAGCCTTAGATGTCCCTCGTTTGTCATGTGGGAGTGTCTATATGAGATATATTCTTATTAGTGGAATTACTGGGTCAAAAGGAATATGCAGAGAAAACATCAGACAAGCCCAAATTGAGGGACATTCTGTAAAATACCTGACTGTTCAAAATTGTCAAGATTATGAAAAACAAGAAAAGACAAACTCATAGATCTGAGAAGACTAAGGAGACATGACGATTAAATGCAATGTGGTATCTTGGATTGGATCCTGGAACAGAGAAAAAGACAAAATCTAGAGTTTAGTTAATAATGATGTACCAATGTTGGTTTCTTAGTTTTGACAAATGTCCCATGGTAATACATGATGTTAACATTAGGAGAAACTGGGTGGGTGTGTATCTGGGAACTCTCAATTCTATCTTTGCAACTTTTCTGAAAATCTAAAATTATTCTAAAATTAAAGGTGTATTCTTAAAAAAGGGCATTAGTGGAAAAAGTGGTGAAATCCAAAGAAAATCTGTAGTAGAGTTAATAGTATTGTACCAATATTAAAACCTTAGTTTTCATAAATGTCCCATGCTTATTTGAGATGTTAACATCTAGGGAAGATGAGTGAAGGGTATGCAGGAACTCTGTACTACCTGTGTACCTTTTCTATAAATCTAAATTACTCCAAAATTAAAAGTTTGTTTAAGAAAGAAATATGCCTTTGTAATTTTGAAAGGTACTAACAAGTTGCCCTCTACAGAGCATAATCAAAAAGAAGTAAAAGAAAAAATAAGAGGAAAGAATGGAATGCCCAGGATGATGCTGAAACTCCAGCACCTTAAGGCTTCTTAAAGGGTGTGTGTGTGTCGTTTTTTTTTTTTTCCATTTTACAAATGAAAAACAACCTGAGCTCAGAAGTTAAAAGACTTGGTCACAGAGATAATTGATGGTAAAGGGCAAAAACTGATTCTTCCATCTTTTGACTTTGGAACAACATTCTCTCCTAAGAACACATGTTTAGCTGAATGAGAAGACTACTAATGAAGTTCAATGACCTGGGAAGGAAATGTTGTGTACACAGGCTAATGTCTCTAGATCAGTGTTTTGTTTTTGGCTGAGGAAGATTTGCCCTAGTTAACATCTGTTGGCAATCTTCTTTTTTTTTTTTTTTTTTAATTTTTTGTTTATTGCAGTAACATTGGTTTATAACATTGTAAAAATTTCAGGTGTACATCATTGTACTTCTTGTGTTTTTATCAGTGTTTTGTTTTTGCTGGGAAAGTTTTTGCCCTAGCTAACATCTGTTGGCAATCTTCTTTTTTTTTTTTTTTTTTTTTAATGTGAGCCGCTGCCACGGTATGGCCACTAACAGCCGAGTGATGTGGTTCTACGCCTGGGAACTGAACCTGGTCCACTGAAGTGGAGCACACCAAACTTTAACCACTAGGCCATTGGGGCTCTAGATCAGTGGTTTTTAACTGGGGTGATTTTGCCCCCCCGAGGACATTTATCAATATCTGGAGACATTTTTGCTTTTTTACAACTTGGGGAGGAGGGATGGACTGCTACTGGCATTTGGTAGGTAGAGACCAGGGATGCTGCTTAACATCCTACAATGCATAAGACAGCACCCCACAGCAAAGAATTACCCAGCCCTAAATGTCAGTAGTGCCAAGGTAGAGAAACTCTGCTATAGATCATATTTCACTTAGCAAATATTACAGTTGGGGATTATTTCATAGCAGTAATGAAAAGGTGGGCATTCTTAAACTATTCTTATTTGTACTTTCCAGTTTTTTAATCAGTGGACTATAGAAGATGTGAAGGGAAAATATTTTATTAAGACCATCCTTGTGGTCAAGGGGGGAAAAGCAGTACTCACAGCCTATTTCAAAATCACAAGCAGATTACCTTTAAAAAAAAGCATTAAAAATATTGAACTTTAGTTAATAATATGGTGAACTGATACCTGCAACTTGCTTTGAAATGCCTCAAAATATAAGAGGGATTGATGGGTAGAGAAAGGGATGGATAAATAGATATGTAATAAAGTAAATATAGTAAAATGTTAATTGTAGAATCTAGTGGGTGGATGTATGAAGATTCACTGTATAATTCTATTTTTTTATACGTTTGAAAATTTTCCTTATATAAGGGGGAAAAGCAAAAGCAGAGATTCTCACACTCTTCTTAGCAGACACTGTGGGTTAGTGGAAACCATGTTGCTGATTTTGCTGGGTGACCTCAGGCAAGTTACTTAACTTTTTATTTTCATCTGAAGAGCAGTTGTTGTTTGGCTCAAATGAGATACAGTATTGTGAGGTTCAAATGAAATAATGTGAAAGCACTTTGAAAAGCATAAAGCTCTCTAAAAATGTAATGCATGACTATGAGGAAGGATGACGGTTTGACCAATTATATACCATGGCTCTCCAGGTTCTTGACAACTCCTTGTGTGATGATATTAGCACTCTTACCTACTTGCAGTTGGAAGTACAAAACACTTAACCACTTCCATAAAAATTTCTGTCAAATATTGCTCAAATATTTGTGAAAGACTTAGATTCCTATTCTATCTGCTTTCTTAGAGGATAGAGTTATCCTGCCTTTGTATGACTTTAATATTTTTTCTTGTTTTACTTACGGACTGCCAAGATCTCCACTTGGAGCAATGGGAATCTCCTTTGATTGTGGAACATTGGACAGGAGCTTTGCCAGTGGCTGGCCAAGAAGGAGGCAGAATGTCTGCATTGTTACACCATAGAGTTCAAACTTCAGAAGACATTGGGTTAAGCAGTATCATTTACTCTGCAAATGATTATGTCTTTACCTGTCCTCTATGATCATCACAAACTAATGAAACACCTCTTAGGTCTTGTGAATTCAGGTTACACTGTTTTCCAGATGCGCTGGCAGCTGTTGCAGGTAGGATTGGGCTGGGTTTTGTGGGGAATGGTGAAAGGGAGAGAACTCATCTTTCCCATTTTCAGTCCTCACTTAAGTTAAACATCTGTGCATATCAAGGTTAGGTTAACTAATCTAGGTTGTTGTATAGAACAGGATTGAACCTAGAAAAATGCTTTGGTTGTTCCATTAGGACTTATATGTAGAGATATGAAAGGCAAAGTTTTCTCCACTTTTTTTTGGGGGGGGGTTTAAATTGATGTTTTGTTTGAGGGTACAATTTGAAAATGATAGATAGCTTGTGTACATTTCACTTTCTGTACTAAATATCATAAGTGATTTCAACTTTGTGTGTGTGTGTGAATATATACCTATGCTGATGGGCTTATTGCCTTTTCTAGGGCCCGTGAAAAATGGAACCAAACTCTCTGAGGACTAAAGTCCCAGCTTTCTTATCTGATTTGGGGAAGGCCACATTGAGGGGAATCAGAAAGTGTCCCCGATGCGGTACATACAATGGAACCCGGGGCCTGAGCTGTAAGAACAAGACTTGTGGAACCATATTCCGCTATGGCGCACGGAAGCAGCCTAGTATTGAAGCTGTCAAAATCATCACAGGCTCCGATCTGCAGGTCTACTCAGTGCGGCAACGAGACCGGGGCCCCGATTACCGATGCTTTGTGGAACTTGGTATCTCAGAGACAACAATCCAGACAGTGGATGGGACGATCATCACTCAGCTGAGTTCTGGACGGTGTTATGTCCCCTCATGCCTGAAAGCTGCCACCCAGGGTGTTGTGGAAAACCAGTGCCAGCACATCAAGCTAGCAGTGAACTGCCAGGCAGAAGCCACTCCTCTGACCCTAAAGAGCTCGGTCCTGAACGCAATGCAGGCCTCGCCAGAAACCAAGCAAACCATCTGGCAGTTGGCCACAGAACCCACGGGTCCCCTGGTACAGAGGATTACTAAGAACATTTTGGTGGTGAAATGCAAGGCAAGCCAGAAGCATAGTTTGGGGTATTTGCATACATCCTTTGTGCGGAAGATCAGCGCCAAAAGCTCGCCCGAACGCCGTTTCTTCTGCTCCTGCCAGACTCTGAAATCGCACAAGTCGAATGCTTCCAAGGAGGAGGCAGCCCAGAGATGCATTCATTTCTTTGCTTGCATCTGTGCCTTTGCCAGTGACGACACATTGGCTCAGGAGTTCTCAGACTTCCTAAATTTTGATTCCAGCGGTAGGTGGTGTGGTTGACACACTTACTCTGTTTTTCTAAAATGTCAATGAAAGAGTTCCACTGATGGCATTTGGAGATTGTCCTAGCAACCGTCAGAAGCAGTTGCTAGAGTTTCAAATGAAAAGCATTCCTTCCTTTAATCCCAGTCAGCACACTTGCATAAAGGTTGGTTGGTTGGTTGGTTGGTTGGTTGATTGGTTGCTTGGTTGAAATGAATGATCAAGAGACTCAGGCATTTTCATTGAGATGATGAATCTAGCTAAGTTAGCTTTGCTTTGATTTTTTTTACTCTTCCACGGATGCCCTGTGTTAATAAAAACAAAGAACAAAAAAATCCGTTTTATTTTGGCTTGCTTGCTTGTTTCTTATCTTTGAAGATGGGGGAAACTAGTACCTTGCTCAAAAGAAGACCTTTAAAAGTTTCTACACCGGGGCTGGCCTGGTGGCGTAGTGGTTAAGTTCTTGCACTCCACTTCCGAGGCCTGGGGTTTGCAGGTTCAGATCCCGGGCGCGGACAGATGCACCGCTTCTCAAGCCATGCTGTGGTGGCCATCTCATATAAAGTAGAGGAAGATGGGCACAGATGTTAGCCCAGGGCCGATTTTCCTCAGCAAAAAGAGGAGGATTGCCATTGAGTGTTAGCTCAGGGCCAGTCTTCCCCACACACACACACACACAGTTTCTACATCAAGTGTTTGAGATTAATGTATTTTTGTAGATGCTTTTTATTTTCATTCCTTAATGACCTTTAGTTGGCAGCAGCTCCCAGCTTTTTACTTTGACATTTCTCTGTAGAGCCTTCTATCAAGTTAATGTTCTATGAACAAAAACGTATGTTTTAGGGAGTTCTTTAAAGGAACTTATTTTAAAGCAGGCAGTCACTCCATAATTTGTTTTGGGGATTTGGATTTTTATAAATTAATTTTTCTCTAGGTCGGGGCCCATACTTAATCTTGGATAGTATTAATAATTCAGAAATCTGTTATATTTTAGGTCTGAAAGAGATTATTGTGCCCCAGTTAGGTTGCCACTCAGAATCAACAGTATCAGCTTGTGAGTCTGCTGCCTCAAAGCCAAAGAAGAGGAAAAAGGATGAAGTATCTGGTGAGACACTGTTTGGTTGGTTTGTTTATTTGTCTGCTGGTGGTATCTTTAGAGATTATTTTACTGTGTTTTATGTGTTTCACTGAATCTCAGCCATTACAAGAAAGAGTTTTTGTTATGTTTTTTTTTTGTGAAAAAAGTTTTACTCTCCAGTGATGATTCTTTGTCAAGTCAATCAAAGCATTGGTTCTACTGGCCAAGAATAAGATCCAACCAAACTCCACTTTTGTTATTGTTATGTGTTTATTTATCCCTTAAACATTCAGACGAGTCTTACACCTTAATCTGTCTCAGGACAGTGTTATAAAGTTTTCATCCATACAGTGTTTAAAAAAAAAACTTGTGACAATGGTTGATTATTATTATCCACACTAATTTAGGAACATAGTTTGTTACTTGCATTTTCAGCGTGTGGCACCATAGATATATTTTTTTTTCTTTTTCAATTAAAATAATATTAGAGTCAGTTAAGGACTCATCTAAATCAGTGTGAAGTGCTGAAGTCCCCTAGTAGATACGTGTCAAAAGACCTAGACTCTAAACAAAAGGGAAATATTATCTGGTCCACACGTGGACCAAACTCCAAACTCACTAGTGAACAGAGAAATGCAAACATTTTAGAAATGCAAAATTAAAACAAGATACTTTTTTTGCTACCAAATTAGCAAACATTTTTTAAATGGTGAGACCACAGGTAAAGGTGAAATCAGGGCTCTTTGGCCTGGCTGCTGTAGTGTAAGTTGCTATAACCATTTGTGAAAGTAGTTTGCAATATCTGTTAAGAACCTTAAAAATGTTCCTACCCATAGGGAGTATTGCTGGAGGTGGGTCAAGTGGTCATGACAGGAGTTTTGGTGCTGGGAAGTTGGAGAAAGATGGAGAAACAAAGTGACATGGTCATTTCTGTGTTTTTGAGAGGTAATTCTGGCAGCAATGTAGAGCAGAAATTATTGTTAAATGTTTACTTTTTGGTCTTTCCCAGGAAAACTTGAAATTTGAAAAAAAAATTTTTTACCATTTGACTCAGTAGTTCTACTTCTAAATAATCTTTTTTAAGGAAATAATCCTTGGTATAGAAAAAAAACATTTTGTCCAGAGATGCTCATTTTATGGTTATTTATAATATTGAAAAATTAGAAACAACTAAAGGCCAACCACTGGGGATAATTAAATGAACCATGGTAAAGCCACTTGGTAGACTATCCAGCAGCCATTAAAAATGATTATAAAGAGGGGCCGGCCCGGTGCCGCAAGTGGTTAAGTGCGTGCACTCTGCTGTGGCGGCCCAGGGTTCGCCGGTTTGGATCCCGGGCGTGCACCGACGCACTGCTTGGCAAGCCATGCTGTGGCGGCATCCCATATAAAGTGGAGGAAGATGGGCACGGATGTTAGCCCAGGGCCAGTCTTCCTCAAAAAAAAAAAAAAAAGAGGAGGATTGGCAGATGTTAGCAAAGGGCTGATCTCCTCACCAAAAAAAATTAAAAAATGATTATAAAGAATTTGGGGAAATGTTTAGATCCCTCCTGTAGCCAGATAAAGTACAGAATGCTCAGTTAAACTTGAATTTCAGGTAGATGATGAATAATTTTTTAGTATAAGTATCTCCCATGCAATATTTGGAATGTACTTATACTAAAAAGTTATTCATTTATTTGAAATTCAAAAAAGTGTTTTTGGCTAAATCTGGCAGTCCTGGTATATGTAATCACAGCTACTTAAAATCACAAAACCAGCAAAACAAACTATTCACAGAAAAGAAAATGAAAGATAGTTCACCAGAAAATTAATAGTGATTGTCTGAGAGGTGGGAGCCATGGGTGATTTTTTTTCATCCTTTCACTTCTGGTTCCCCCACCCAATTTCCTGTAAAGGGCATAAAAAACTTAAAATGTTATATATAAAGGCTAATGCTAATTCCTTCTAGAAACTAAAGCTAACTTAGAAATTAGCAAAGACTTTTTATATGTTTTAGACTCTTCAGAAATTAAAATCAAATAAACTTGTATTCTGCAGACATGTTACTAAACAATATAATGATTTGTGGTTTAGGTGCACAGACAAACATTTCACTGTTGCCTCAAGATGCAGTGAGCAGTAATCTAAGGAAAACTGGCCTGAAAAAGCCTGTGGTTGCTTCTTCATTAAAAAGACAGGGTAAGTTTCCCTTTACCAGAATAGGCTGAAGAGGTGGAAAATCATCCAAAAGAAGCCCAAAGTGATATAATCAAAAGAAATGTTGCATGTTGTCCCCCAAGGAGTGCTAACACCACCAGGCACTGAGGCTGAGGTCTGTCCTGTCCCACTGGTCTCCAGTCATGCTCAGAACTAAATTGTGTCTTTTAAATAATGAATGCAACAAAAATTACTGACCTGTTGAGCCAGTCCTGATGGCCTAGTGGTTAAAGTTCGGTGCTCACTGCTTCGGCAGCCCGGGTTCACTTCCCAGTTGTGGAACCACACCACCCATCTGCCAGTTGCCGTGCTGTGGTGGCGGCTCACGGAGAACTAGCACAACCTACAAGTCGGATCTACAACCATGCACAGGGGCTTTGGGGAGGAAAAAAGTAAATAAATAAAATAAATAAATTCACCAATTGTTAACATTTAAAAAAAATTACTGACATATTTTGGCAGCAGGTCTTTTGTGGGATATTTTCATCTTGTTGCTTATTACCCACATGCAGTTGGGATGGAGATTCAAAATTGAAGAAGAAACATTTTACAATTATGCAGTGATAAACATGTGTTGAAAGACAAATATAGTCTGTTTGTTCTCCAAAGTTAGTGAAGTTTGAAAACATACCTAAAAGCAATAGCATGGGTATCGTTTTGAATTTATGAGACTTAAGTCATAAGAATGACTTAATTTTAATACAACTTAGATATTTATATGTATCACTTTTCTTTTTTTTTTTTTTTTAAGATTTTATTTATTTTTTTTTCCCCAAAGCCCCAGTAGATAGTTGTATGTCATAGCTGCACATCCTTCTAGTTGCTGTGTGTGGGACGCAGCCTCAGCGTGGCCGGAGAAGCAGTGCGCGCCCGGGATCTGAACCCAGGCCGCCAGCAGCAGAGCGCGTGCACTTAACCACTAAGCCACAGGGCCGGCCCTATATGTATCACTTTTCTACTTAGAATAATTAAGCTTGCACATTTGGGGATCAATATTTTTTAACTCTCCTTATACATTGTAAAAAAACAGTTTAGTTCCATTTTTGCAGTATGTATTCAATACTTGCTCTGATATGGCTAGCCATATAACATGGCTACGTGATTAAAACCTAGGTGTCATCCCTGCCCTCATACTCTGGTTTTGAAGATAAGACAAATACATAAATAGCAAACAATACAAGACCAAATCTTAGTTAACTAATTAAGAACTTATACATTCCAGGAATAAATGTTTTTGGAAGGTCAGGAAGTAAACAGATCAACTGTATCAGGTATAAGATTTTTAACAAATTTTCATCACTTCCTTTGGCATAAAGAAAAAGGGAAATAGCTCTTAATCCAAATTATCACTGTATGCATTTACCTGTGAGAATTGTAATTTCAAATGAATAGTAGTTATGGCATCATTATCTCTATAAAAGGGAATATACTTCAGACATGTGAAGACATTTTAGGAGAAGGAATGGAGTAGATTGGTAGGTCTGTGAGCATATAGACATATTCATTAGGAATAGGACCAATTTATAGATTTCTAAAACAGCCATCATAAAAGGCCATTCTTCAATTTGCAGGTTAGTGTTGACAGACTGCAAACTTTCTGTGATTAGTAATCTTGAACCTGTTAGTGTCCCAGAGCTTTTCATTTCTTTTGTCCTAAATGGATTCTTAAAAAAAAATCATAGAGGGCTGGCCCTGTGGCTTAGCGGTTAAGTGCGCGAGCTCTGCTACTGGTGGCTGGGTTCGGATCCCGGGCGTGCACCGACGCACCGCTTCTCCGGCCATGGTGAGGCCGCGTCCCACATACAGCAACTAGAAGGAAGTGCAACTATGACGTACAACTATCTACTGGGGCTTTGGGGGAAAAAAAGGAGGAGGATTGGCAATAGATGTTAGCTCAGAGCCGGTCTTCCTCAGCAAAGAGAGGAGGATTAGCATGGATGTTAGCTCAGGGCTGATCTTCCTCACACACACAAAAAAAATCATAGAATCTTCCATTTCATTTATTGTATCTAATTTCTTTGAATTTCAGCTTCTTGTTCTTTTTTTTCTGTACACACTCCTCAACTTTTTCTAACTTCAATTAACTGTATTCTGTAAGGAAAGATAAAAGTTTACTGAAGAGTTGTGTGTTTTGTTTTTCCTAGCTTGTGGTCAGCTGTTAGATGAGGCACAAGTGACCTTATCCTTCCAAGACTGGCTGGCAAGCGTCACAGAACGCATCCATCAAACCATGCACTATCAGTTTGATGGTAAGTATTGGTCACTCAACTGGGCTGTTGCTGAAAGTAGGAGAAATTCAAGTGATTGTGTTGTAGTTCTACTGTTTCAATAGGAAAAGTAATTGGGCTTCAGTCCAGAGTGCATTCGGCCACAGGAAAGTAGAGATCTAAATGAAAGAAAGGAACAATCACATAATTAAAATGCAGGACCAGCAAAATGAATTTAGAGATGGAAGAGAAAAAAATTCAGCAAATAATAAGTAAAAGTAGAGAGCCTTGATCTTGGGGTGTACATGTGTGTGCGCATGTGTGCTTGTGTACATGCATGCATGTTTGGTGGAGAGATACCAAAGCCTTAGAATATCATTCTAACCCTCAAACTTAAAATCGAAGCAAGGGGGGAAAAAGTTTAGAGAAAATCTAAACAGGTGATACTAAGATAATTATATAAATTTATATATGTAATATATATATATAAATTATATAAAATTATATAGACATAGTAAAGAAGATGGAGAACACAGGCTGGATTTGGGGTGATTGTGATAACCTCATGGAACGTCGGCAATTTCAGAGGTGGACCATCCAGCCAGTCCTTTCCATTGCCTTCAAAACATTCCTGATGAATGGTTTTCCAGGTTTTGTGCAGTGATGAGGAACTCACTGCTTTTTGAGGCAGCTGCTAACATTGTTGGAAGTGATAGCTGTGAGGAAAGTTCCTCATGCTAAGTGGAAACATTTGCTTATAATACTTCCTGTTGGTTCTAGTTCTCTGCTCTGGACACATGGAATAGGTCTGTTCCTGTTTCCAAATAACGGTTCCTGCCACTGCATACCCACCCATTGCCCTCCTGACAGGTCTTCTCCTTTCCAAGTGATACATCTCAGGACTTCAGACCCTTCTCATGGCGTATGTGCAGACCTCATATCATGTTGATGTGCTTTGCTGAATATGTTGCAGTTTATACATATCATTTTAAAAAGAAAGCAGCCCAAGCTGAATAGTGGCCTGGCAGTAGACACTCAGTAGGAGGAGATGAGTTTTGAAGGATTAGAACAGTTATGGATTCTTGGTAAGGAAAGTGACAAGAATGGAGGTCTTGAAATACATGCTTAGCTTTATTTATATTAATTCAGAATAAATAAAAACTTCAGAAGTTTCTTTTTAGAAAAATAAAATAAACCAAGGAGGGTTAAAGAGAGAATCTATGTTTTTCTTTTAAAATTTTATTTATTTATTATTTGAAATAATACAATAAATACCTATTAACCCACCTCCCAAAACAGGAAATAGAACATTGACAATAGTGTAAGCTGTACTCTGTGATCCTTCTCCATTCCACTCCTGTACCCCCACCTCTCACATCTCCGGCACCTTTGTCCAAGTCAGCTGCCTGTAAACAGTCAGGGTTTATTAGTTGCAAGACTAGCCTTTCCTTCTTGAATTGTTCGGCACCTTTGTCCAAGTCACCATCAGCTCCAGACTGTGAGTCTATGTCTTTTATGAGGGCTTTTCAAGATTAATTTAAAAACTAGAGACAGCTAAGGCAAAACTGAGAATAAAAATGTTTACTTTGGGGGAAAAAAAGAGATTAATTTGTAAACCTAAGCTCTAGCCTCACCTCACCTGCTCTGTTGCACACCAGGGGCGAGTTCTGGTGGGTTAGCACTTCTTTACAGCTGTAATGACCTGTGTGTAGCCCTTAATCTAATTTCAAGATGAAACATTTAAAAACTCTTTGTGTGGTGATGTCTCTAAACTGCTCAGATACTAATATTTTAGTGGCTCAAAAGCAGTGACAGTTTTGTCATTGACATTCTGCATTCAATAAAGTAAGCAAAATCAGTTGAAAGAATGTAAAGTCTTTCTCTGGAATTCTAGAAAACCTTTAATTTTTATTTTTCCTCGCTTGACCTTTGTTTCAAAAAGGCATCTGAACTGTCTTTAAGAGCCATTCTTTAAGTTGTATCCAGGCAGGTAGAGGTTACATGTTGATCCACATGGTTCTGGATGTTTCCCTCTGCTGGGGCTAGCCCCTTGGGTAGAGTTTTTAAGGCCTTAAAACTGTGAATACTTTCAACCCCTCTCCAAACACTCTTTCTGTTGACCTAGTGTCTTGCAAGTTTCTTTAAGAGGTTTGTTAAGTATTTTCAAACATTTTACCTGCCTCAAGATCATATTCAGAGGGACTGATGCTTACTGGATAAACAGTGTCCTGACTGTGGTCTCTGGGTTCGTGGTCTTGACCATCTGAGTGAGAGCGTGCTGTGACTGTGCTTAGACAGGAAGGCAGACAGCAAGTGCCTGGGTGTAGTGAGCGGGAGTGAATCAAGTTTACCTTCTCAGCTCAACCTCATTGTTCTCATCTCATTTCATACGCCCTTTAAAGGTGAAAGTCTGCTGTGGTGGTGTTTACAGTTTGGGGATTTGAAGTTATCCTGGGTGGATGACAAGGATCTGCTGAATTTTTTATGATCACAAGGGATCAAGACTAGGGCTGGTGGGGCTGGCCCAGTGGCGTAGTGGTTAAGTTCGCACGCTCCACTTTGGCGGCTCGGGGTTCATGGGTTTGGATCCCAGGTGTAGACCTGCACACTGCTCATCAAGCCATGCTGTGGTGGTGTCCCACATACAAAATAGAGGAAGATGGGCACAGATGTTAGCTCAAGGACAATCTTCCTCAAGCAAAAAGAGGAAGATTGGTAATAGCTGTTAGCTAGGTCAGGGCCAATCTTCTTCACAAAAAAAAAAAAAAAGAGTAGGGCTGGTGATAGTGCTTGACCTATAAAAGGTCAATCAGAGCCTTCTTTTTGCCTCTGTATAAAGAAATCTTGGGCCAGCCCCATGGCATAGTGGTTAAAGTTCAGCACGCTCTGCTTCAGTGGCCCAGGTTCATGGGTTCAGATCCCAGGCACAGACCTACACCACTCATCGGCCATGCTGTAGCAGTGACCCACATAGAAAATAGGGGAAGACTGGCACAGATGTTAGCTCACAGCAGATCTTCCTCAAGCAAAAAGAGGAAGATTGACAACAGATGTTAGCTCAGGGCAAATCTTCCTCAGCAAAAAACAAAAAAAGAGATCTCACTGGTATATTTAGTTACTACTGCCCCTCAATTCATTTCCTCCACCTCTCCCTACACGTCAGGAAGCCCAGTGAATTTCTTTACATGATTTTCTTCTTATTTCCTCTAGGCAGACCAGAGCCCCTGGTGTTCCACATTCCTCAGTCCTTTTTTGATGCCCTGCAACAGAGAATATCTATAGGAAGTGCAAAAAAACGGCTTCCCAACTCCACCACAGGTATGGGCTTTTTCCTCAGGAGTAGCAACACATGTCTTCACCTTAGAGAACTGTGTTTGGGAAAATCGTGTGGAATTTTCAGGATTAGGACTTCTAGTCATGTGCTGAGAGCATGAAGCCTTAGCCAGTCACCTCTTGGAATAATGATCACGCTCTTCAAAGGCCCCATAGTTATTCCAGTACGAGTTAAGGGAAAGATTCAGAAAGTGCAAACTTGGTAAAGGAACAACAATGAAGTGCAAAGAAGGTGCTCACCAAGAAGTCTGATATTTTCTAGATATAAACCAATTTCAACAAAAGCATTGCAGGTTCCAATCATTATTTGAGCCGGCTTCTTGCAGGCATAGTACAACATGTATCAAAAACTAAACCTTGTCTTTCATGATTCCCGATTTTTGGTGAAGGAAGATTTTATTTTTAGAGTAATTCTTAGGCTTAGAACAATTTATAATTGCACTATTCTGGTACTTATTTCTTGGTTTTATATTACGTCTTTCTATTAGAGCTCTCAAGATACTCATTAGGTAATATGAGGAAGGAAGGGGGAGAAAAGAAGAAGGATTGCTCAGGGAAAATAGCCCCAGAGTGACTACAGCTAGATATCAATGCTGTTTCTTCAATGAATTATTTGATGATATAATAGTGACTGTTGAGGTTTAATTCTATTTTTGAATAGTGCAAGCTATGAATCACTATGTTTAGGGCCATGAAAATCGTCGTCTTCATAGCTTATCTATCTGACTTTGGAGACCGTGTTGATTCTTTCTTCCAGTTAAAATTTTAGGCCTAATACATTAATTTTAACCCATCCCTTAGCTATTTTTGCAGGCCCTTCGGTGGAACCCCTTTATAATCCTGCAGGCAGGATAAAGGGTTGGCAACCACATTAGCAGACTTAAACTCTGAATAATTATTTTAAGGACTATGATTTGACCTCTGATATATCTAAGGTTGTAAGAAGTTTTAAAATGGAGTCCTGGGCCAGCCCCAGTGGCCTAGTGGTTGTGTTTGGTGTGTTCCACTGTGGTGGCCCGGGTTCTGTTCCCAGGCGCGGACCTACACCACTCATCAGTGGCCATGCTGTGGCAGCAGCTCACATACAAAATAGAGAAAGACTGGCATAGATGTTAGCTCAGGGCGAATCTTCCTCAGGAAGAAAAAAAAAAAAGAGTCCTGTGCGTGTAGCTTTACCAACAAAGAAACAAGTCTCTAAGGTAGCAAAAATAAGTAGCATCTCAAAAAGGCATCAGAGACTTTATATATACCTTTTGATTTGTCCCATTTTTGCCAAAACCTATTATATATTTGCCTCTAGAATTTCTAGAAACTGGACAACAAATACAGTGAAAGAGAATGTTATTTTTTAGTAGTCTAATTTTGTCCCCTTTTTACATTGAAGCTTTTGTTCGAAAAGATGCCTTGCCATTGGGGACCTTTTCCAAGTATACCTGGCATATCACTAATATCCTGCAAGTTAAACAAATCTTAGATACCCCAGAGGTAAGAGTTTATTTCTACAATAGTGGGAGGGCAGAGAGGGGAAGAGAGGGAAGCAAGTATGGGAAGTATGTTTGCACAGTTCCTTGAGTTACAGACATCAAAGATTTTTCATACTAAAAGATTATTCAGAAATACTCAAGGCTTTATAGTTCTGACTCTGAATTTAATGGGTATTCCCTATAGCTTGAAAAAGTATCTTAAATTGGAGTATCCTTTTTCTTTGCTTTTGGAATCAGAAAACAGGGATGATTTTTCTTGTAAATTAAATAATGACCCCCTACTAGCTATGGTGGGCCCTAGATTAACTGGCAGGTAGCTAGAAAGTATATAAATAATTTGGCAATCTATACTATTTACAATCTATACTATTTGTGAAGTCAGTGAGGCAGCACAATTAAATGCTCCTCCCCAAACTGCAGTTTAGTTCTCATTAGAGAAATGACCTCTCATTAGTTTGTGTTCTTTTTCACAAGGGAAATATTAGACATTTTTAAACAATTTTTTCCAGCAGATCCTGAAAATTTGAGGATTTTCGCTGTAGAAAATTCAGCATAATGTGATTTGATATATTAAAATTAGTTTAATTGCAAGGCATTGTTAATGTTCAGAAAAAGAATAAATTATTTGGTAGCTATGGAACTTACATGTGCACCCTAGAAGAGGCCTGTGTTAGCGCTAAAGACCCTAGAGGAACTTCTTTAAACGCAGAATGTCACAGAGGCAGCTTCTAGCCTGGAATGAGTGGTGTTCAGGGAGGCACTGAAGCAACCCAGAGCAAAGTCAAGTGAGGGAAGGAGCTAATAACAATAATCACTGAGCTTCTGTCTTTTGGGTGTTATTTACCTATATCACCTCATTCAAACTCACAGCCATGTGTTGGTGTTAACTGTATTTTGCAGATGAGAAACAGGCTATGAGAAGCTCACCCTGCTGTTTAGTGGCAAAGACAAAATTCAGTTCAAGTTCTGTCTGGCTCAGTCCCAAGGATGGTGTGAAGCCCACAGGATGTGAGGTCAGCTGTAGGTGCTATCAACAGAGTTTTTAGAAGAATGCTGCTAGCAGAGCAGTAGGGGAAGGAATAAAACTGATTTTAGAGCAGGTCTGTGCCAGTAGCACTCATGTAACCCCAAAGATGTTAGGGGTTCAGTTCAGTCTGGTTTGGCTGGGGTTCAAATTCAAGTTATAGAGAAAAAGGAAAGCCAGGAATGATATATGGGAGAAAAGGCAGATTTGTTGACACAATTTACTTGCAAGTACAAGGGGAAGTTTTAATTAATGTGAGTGTACTTAACAAGAAAGAATGAGTAAAAGATCTGTTGTCATCCAAATGTTTGTCTGCTTTGAAAGTTTTTCCTGTCTCACCTTTCTTGGTATTGTCTCCATGCCCAGATGCCCTTGGAAATCACCCGGAGTTTTATCCAGAACCGGGATGGGACTTATGAGCTGTTCAAATGCCCTAAAGTAGAAGTAGAGAGCATAGCAGAAACCTATGGTCGTATAGAAAAGCAACCAGTGCTGCGACCCTTGGAACTGAAAACTTTTCTCAAAGTTGGTAAGTCAGTCAGTGGTTTCAATAGCACATCTTCCTCTGAGGGTCAGCTGTGTGCACTACACTGTCCTAGACTTTGGATCTCGACCTTAAACAGAGAAGACACATTCATTCATCTTGTAAAGGCAGTCATGGGATAAGGTGTTTTGTTTCATTTGAGCCAGAGCTTTTAAAATAAAATTACAGAAGTAATCCATGTTCATTATACAGAAATCATAGATTTGGGCCGGCCCCGTGGCTTAGCGGTTAAGTGCACGTGCTCCGCTGCTGGTGGCCCGGGTTTGGATCCCGGGCGTGCACCGACGCACCACTTCTCTGGCCATGCTGAGGCCGCGTCCCACATACAGCAACTAGAAGGACGTGCAACTATGACATACAACTATCTACTGGGGCTTTGGGGGGAAAAAAATAAATAAATAAAATCTTTAAAAAAAAGAAATCATAGATTTCATTATAGAGCATAAAGGAGAAAAATAAAAACCACCCATAATCCCACCCACCATAGACGACATCACCATTAAGATTTTGGTGTATACCCTGTCAGACTCTTTTCCATGCATGAAAAGAGTTTCCAAAACATGAGATCATACCTCAGCTGCTTTTTTCTTTTCTTTTTTTTTTTTTTTTGTGAGGAAGATCAGCTCTGAGCTAACATCCATGCCAATCCTCCTGTTTTTGCTGAGGAAGACTGGCCCTGAGCTAACATCCGTGCCCATCTTCTTCCACTTTATGTGGGAGGCCGCTGCAGCATGGCCTGACAAGCGGTGCATCGGTGCGTGCCCGGGATCCGAACCCAGGCCGCCAGCAGCGGAGCTGAGCAGAGCGCATGCACTTCACCTCTACCCCACGGGGCCGGCCCCTCGGCTGCTTTTTTCACTTAAAAATATATCACGGGGGCCGGCCCCGTGGCTTGGCGGTTCAGTGCGCGCGCTCCGCTGCTGGCGGCCCAGGTTCGGATCCCGGGTGCGCACCGAGGCACTGCTTCTCCGGCCATGCTGAGGCCGCGTCCCACATACAGCAACTAGAAGGATGTCCAGCTGTGACATACAACTATCTACTGGGGCTTTGGGGGAAAATAAATAAATAAATAAATGGCAAAGGAGTTTAAAAAAATATATATATATATATATCATGAACAGCTTTCCATATCTATCTTCAACATTATTCTTTAACTTTTTTTATTACAATAAAACATACATAATATAAAATTTACCACTTGAACCATTTTTAAGTGTACAGTTCTCTCGCATTAAGTACATTCACATTGTTGTGCAACCATCACCACTATCCATCTCCAGAATTTTTTCATCTTCCTCAACTGAAACTGTACCCATTAAACACTAACTCCCCACTCCTGCCTCCCCCCAACCCCTGGCAACCACCATCCTACTTTCTGTCTCTATGAATTTGACTACCCTGGGTATCTCATGTAAGTAGAATCATTCAGTATTTGTCATTTTGTGTCTAGCTTATTTCACTTAGCATAATGTCTTCAGGGTTCATCCATGTTGTAGCATGTGTCAGAATTTCTTTCCTTTTTAAAGCTGAATAATATTCCATTATATGTATATACTACTTTTTGTTTATCCATTCATCTGTTGATGGACACTGGGTTGCTTCTACCTTTTGGCTATTGTGAATACAACATTCTTAACAACTACAGAAAATTCATTCATTAAGGTAACTGTTATCAATCCTCAATTTAAGTTATTTCAAACTTTTTGCTGTTATAAACAATGCTTCCTTTTAGAATTAACGTCTTTTTAGATAAACCTTTTATTTATTTTTATTTTTCATTTTTTATTTTTCTGAGGAAGATTGGCCCTGAGCTAACATCTGTTGCCAATCTTCCTCTTCTGCTTGAGGAAGATTCGCCCTGAGCTAACATTGGTGCCTGTCTGCCTCTATTTTGTATGTGGGTTGCTGCCACAGCATGGCCCCCGATGAGCGGTGTAGGTCCATGCCTGGGAACCGATCCTGGGCTGCCAAAGTGGAGTGCGCTGAACTTAACCACTAGGCCACAGTGCTGGCCCTAGATAAACCTTTTATATCCTTAATTATTTCCTAACTTATTTAGGATATTCTTTGGGATAAATTCTTAAAAGTGAAATTGCAGGGCCAAAGATTAGGTACATTTTTAGGGCTTTTGATTGTTTTTGTCACATTGCTGTCCAGAAAGATTGTAATATTTGTACATTTTACTCCTGCCAGCCATGTATGAAAGAGTTTGTTTTTTTAATCTTTGTGGATTTGATAGGCAAAAAATGTTATCTCACTCTTTTAATTTGCATTACCCTCAACATTAATGAGAATAAACTTTTCATATTAGTCCTTTGTATTTGATGAATTGCTTTTTTTTGGTCTGTTTTTAACTGGGGTATTTATATAATAATTTAATAATAGGGCCGGCCCTGTGGCTTGGTGGTTAAGTGCGCGCGCTGCGATGCTGGCAGCCCGGGTTCGGATTCCGGGTGCGCATTGAGGCACCACTTCTCTGTCCATCCTGGGGCCGAGTCCCACATACAGCAACTAGAAGGGTGTGCAGCTATGACATACAACTATCTACTGGGGCTTTGGGGGCAAAAAATAAAATAAATAAAATCTAAAAAAAATAATAATAATAATAACAACTATAACAAGTAGCACTTAATCAGCACCTACTCTGTGCCAGCTATTATTTTAAGTACTTTACAAACATTAATTCATTTAATGCTCATCAACCCACTGAGAGGTCGATTCTGTGATCCCCATTTACAGATGAATAAACTGAGGTGAAGATAGGTGCAGTCACCTGCCCAGAGTTACACAGCTAGTAAGTGGTGGAGCTAGTCTTCAACCCCAGGCAGTTTTGGACTCCAGAGCCTGCACTCCTAGCCATCTGATGCTCACCTGTCTTTCTACTGACTAGACTATAAGCTCTTCCAGGGCAGTGAACTATGTCACTCTTGTTTATCACTGTACCCCAAGATAGCACAGTGCCTGGTCCATAGCAGGCACTCAGTAAAGACTTGTTGAATGAAGAATGAATGAATACCAGCCATAATTTTAATTACCTTGGCTTTGTGATCCATCTAGTGGGTCCCCTTCATTTCTCTAATTGTGTACTTAGAATCTTCTAGGAGAAATTTAGAATTTATAACTATTTTGTCAAATTCTTGTGAGTATATCCCTACATATATTTTTTGCTGCTCTTGTGAATAAGATGTTTATCATGTTTCTAACTTGTTATTGCCAATGTATGGAAAGCTCTTGATTTTGGTATACTTATTATCAAATTGGCCCCCCTAATGAGCTCCCAGTAGTGATAAGAGTTGTTTCCCTCTGGTTTCTGGGAAATCAATTATATCACCTGAAAAATAATGATAATTTTGTTTCCTATCAAATGTTTATATCTTATTGTTTTTTTCTTGTTAAATTACCTATGATTTCAAGAGCAACAATGTAAAGCTAGCAGGAAAGCAAGCAGCCACAATTATCATTTTATTTTATTTTATTTTTTTTAAAGATTTTTTTATTTTTTTCCCCCCAAAGCCCCAGTAGATAGTTGTATGTCATAGCTGCACATCCTTCTAGTTGCTGTATGTGGGACGCGGCCTCAGCATGGCCGGGGAAGCGGTGCATAGGTGCGCGCCCGGGATCCGAACCCGGGCCGCCAGCAGCGGAGCGCGCGCACTTACCTGCTAAGCCACGGGGCCGCCCCAACACAATTATCATTTTAGATTATAGTAAAAACTCCTCCAGTGTACCATTTTCCAACTTTGTCTGAAAAAAGAGGTAGTGATAAGTATTCTGTGAAAAAAGCATTGCACAGTTAAATAAGTTTGAGAAATGCTACATATCGTATTTGATTCTAAGACCCCCTTGATTGTAAGATGCTTTGTCAATTTAGTAATGACTTTTTTGAGAAGAAAAGAAACTTTGCCATATGCAAACTGCCCTGGCTGTAAGATACACTCACATCTCAGAAAGTGTTACAATTGAAGTAGGGAGGCAGTAGGGAGTAGTGTCTTAGAATATAATTTCTCTCTCTTAGAAATTCATCACATACATTTGCATATTAAAAAGATCCTGAAATAGGGGCCAGCCCTGTGGCGTAGTGGTTAAGTTCTCGAGCTCAGCCTTGGTGGCCTGGGGTTCTCGGGTTTGGATCCCGGGCACGGACCTACACAAGCTCATCAAACCATGCTGTGGCAGCATCCCATATATAAAATATAGGAAGATGAGCACAGATGTTAGCTCAGGGCCAATCTTCCTCAGCAAAAAAAAAAAAGATCCTGAAATAAATACACGTGTTGAACTTTATCTAACCTAAGATTTCCCAAATTTATTTGACCAGTGAACACTTTTCAGGGGAATACCATTAGCATTTCATAGGATATTTTTCTGGGAAAAGCTGCTCTATGTTTCACTATTAAATAATGAACTATTGGTTATTGATTTCAGATAAATTTTTTTATTATTGTAACAACATATCATATTTTTAGTTTATTAAGTACTTTTATTTGGAACTAGTATTGCATTTTTTGAAATGCCTTTCTGCCATCTTTTGAGGTTTGTCTTTTGACCCAAGTACAATGAATTGTATTAATTAATTACTAATATTGAAGTAATCTTGCATTTCTGGAATAAATCGTACTTGGTCTTTTTTCTTTTAATATATATATAGATTCTATTTGCTAATATTTTATTTAGGATTTTTTATTATCTATTCATAAGTGATAACTGCCTACAGGTTCTTTTTTGGAAGCTATCATTTTTGGGTTTTGGTAATAGATTTTAGAAAGCTTTGGATCTAATTAAATAGCCTAGGAAATATCTGTTTCTTGAATGTTTACAAGAATTTATTCTCTGCACCTAACCTTTTCTTGCAGGTAGTGCTCTAAAAACTTGTTCAGTTTCTTCTGATTTACATTTGTATTCATGGTTTCTATCTTTTCTTGAGTCAATTTTGATCATTCATGTTTTTTCCAAAATTCATCTATCTTCATCCAAAATTTAAATTGTGTACATTTTAATAATTTTTGGTATAGACACTATTCACATAACTTTTTTTGGGGGGGCGGTGAGGACGATTAGCCCTGAGCTAACATCTGTTGCCCATCTTCCTCTTTTTGCTGAGGAAGATTGGCCCTGAGCTAACATCTGTGCCCATCTTCCTCTACTTTATATGTGGGATGCCTGCCACAGCATGGCTTGATAAGCAGTGTGTACGTCCACACCCGGGATCCAAACCTGCAAACCCCAGGCTGCTGAAGCAGAGTGCGTGAACATAACCACTATGCCACTGGGCTGGCCCCATAATCACATGACTTTTAAAATCTATTCTAAGTCTGTAGTTATACACTCCACCAAAATTTTGTCTATTTTATGGTCTTTTTCAAAGAACTGGCTCTTGTATTTATCTATCAGTTGTTCTAAGTTTCTGTTTTAAACTGTTTTCTGCTTTTGTCTGTAATAATTTCTCCTAACTCTTTAAAAATTTTTTCTAACATTTTCTTGGAATTATTTTATTTTTATAGCTTTTAAAATGGAATTCTCGGTTAATTTTTTAAATTCATGTTTGATAATAGGAACATTTAAGGTTCCTACTATTGTTAATATCTAAATAGTGTATAATTATAGTTTAGTTTCTCCGTGTCCCCAGTGCTTTATATTTAAAATTTCCAGTTGGTTGAGGCTTTTGATTTTTATACTCTTAGGTCTCAATTTCTATTTATTTTTTTTATTTTTTGAGGAAGCTTGGCCCTCAGCTAACATCTGTTGCCAATCTTCCTCTTTTTCCTTTTTTTCTCCCCAAAGCCCCAGCACATAGTTGTGTATCATAGTTGTAGATTTGTAGCTCTTCTGTATGGGACACCGCCTCAGCATGGCTTGATGATCCGTGAGTAGGTCCGAGCCCAGGATCCGAACTGGCGAACCCCAGGCCACCGAAGCAGAACGTGTGAACTTTTTTTTTTTTTTTTTAAATTTTTATTTATTTATTTTTCCCCCAAAGCCCCAGTAGATAGTTGTATGTCATAGCTGCACATCCTTCTAGTTGCTGTATGTGGGACGCGGCCTCAGCATGGCCGGAGAAGCGGTGCATCGGTGCGTGCCCGGGATCTGAACCCAGGCCGCCAGTAGTGGAGCGCGCGCACTTAACCGCTAAGCCACGGGGCCGGCCCTTTTTTTTTTTTTTTTTTTTATTTTTCCCCCAAACCCCCAGTAGATAGTTGTATGTCATAGCTGCACATCCTTCTAGTTGCTGTATGTGGGACACGGCCTCAGCATGGCCGGAGACGCGGTACATCGGTGCGCGCCCGGGATCCGAACCTGGGCCGCCAGCAGCGGAGCACGCGCACCTAACCGCTAAGGCACGGGGCCGGCCCCAGAACGTGTGAACTTAACCACTGTGCCACTGGGCCGGCACCGTTAGGTCTCAATTTCTAGTTTTATTATTTTGAGGTCAGAAGATATGCATTTTCAATTTCTATTTTTTTAGGAATTTAAAAATACTTTCTCACTAATCGAATGTATGATATGAATTTGTGCTAGCAAAGATGTTATTATTTATCCAATATAAAGTCTTATATAGCTTTAAAATGAACCATATTATTTTATTTGTCTTCTGTATCTTCATTTATTATCTCTTTTACCTGCCAAAGAGAGCATGATACAATTTCCTACTACAATTTTGTTTCTCTAAATGTCTTCTTATGTTTCAAAGTCTTTAAGTATTGTAATGCAGTGTATTTGGTACATCAGAGTTATTGACAGATGTCATTGTAAATTATATTGTCTTAGTCCATTTGGGCTGCTACAACAGAATACCATAAACTGAGTGGCTTATAAACAACAGAAATTTATTTCTCATAGTTCTGGACGCTGGAAGTTCAAGATCAAAGCACTGGCAGATTCACTGTCTGGTGAGGGCCTGCTTCCTGGCTCCTGGTCGGCAGTGGGCAGTCTTTTCACTGTATCCTCACGTGACAGAAAGGGCAAGGGAGGTCTCTTGTGTCTCTTTTATAAGGGCACTCATCTCATTCATCAGGGCTCCGCCCTCACGACCTAATCATCTTCCAAAGGCCCCACCTCCAAATACCATCACACTGGGGATTCGGTTTTCAATTTATGAATTTTGAGAGGATACAAACATTCAGTCGATAGCAATACTTTATCAGTGTAAAAATAACTTTTGCCCTAAATTCTTCTTTGTGTAATATTACAACAGTGACATCAGCTTTCTTTTGTTTTTCATTTTTCTGATATGTTTGCCATCATTTTACTTTTACCTTTTTTTGTGACTTTGTTTTAGTTGAATCTCTTATCAACATTATATAGTCGGTTTTGATTTTTCTCCAATTTTAATATTTTCCCTTTATTTTTATTGTAATTGATATAGTTGGTCTTCTTTTTGGTTTTCTGTTTTTTGCTAAATGGACTATGTTTTCTGTGCTTAATTGTCTCCATAGTTTTGATTACCATATTCTTATTTTTCATTCTGCTAGTGTTTTATATTTTTTCAAAAGCATTCTTTAACCTGAGTTTTTCATGTTTGAATCTTTGATCCTCTGGAATGTATTTTGATGTAAGGTATGAGGTAAGATTCTGACACCTTTTATTTTTTTCCAGATAATTTTCTGGTTGATGCACATCATTTATCATAAGAAACACTTCCTGGTATTTCTTTTACTAATTGTAAATACCACCTTTACCTTAGGCTAAATTCCTGTTCTATTTGTGTCCATTTTGAATCTTTCTGTTATGTTCTTTTAATCTGTCTAGACGTGCCAATACCACACTCTTTTGGTTATTATGGATTTGTAATGTTTTAGAACCATATAGCTTTTAATTTTATTTCTTTCTGGTTTCCTTGAAACTTGACCTTTTCTTGCTAGTCTCCCTTTTAATCTCAACCAGCTGTCTTTTCCTCTCAGTCTGGGCTCTCCTTATGATTCTTTTGGCCCTATTGTCATAAAGGCTGGGTCTTATTTTATTCAAGGATGCCAGACAATTCCTGAAATTTTCTTTTGGATAGATACAGCAGTAATCGCTTTTCCCTTCCCTTGATTCTTTTTGTTGTTTTTCCTTTTTTTTTTTTCTCAAATAGTTTTTCTGTTAGCTTCTTTTCCTTTTCTTTTTTTACTCCTGAACAGAGTAAGATCTGTCCAGGCTCAAATTTTGGAATTGTACTAATCAGTGTTCCTTTTTTTTTTTTGTCTTCAGGCAACACTTCCCCAGATCAAAAGGAGCCAACACCGTTCATCATCGAATGGATCCCAGATATCCTTCCCCAATCCAAGATTGGCGAGCTGCGGATCAAGTTTGAGTATGGTCACCACCGGAACGGGCATGTGGCAGACTACCAAGACCAGCGGCCGCCCCTGGAACAGCCCTTAGAACTGGCCCCTCTGACCACCATCACCTTCCCTTGAGGCAAAACATAAGAGTCTTTTGCTGCTAAATTTGCACATCCCCACCCCTTGACAACTTTAAATACCAGTTAGGCACTTAGATGGCCCTGTTCCTTAGTGAACTGCTCTTAGCTAAGATGCAATTTCCCAACGCATTCAACTGGATTCTGTTGAAGAAAAACTCTTGTAAATAGCCTTTTTGGTGCTGCTGTGTATAGTCTTCGTTAGAAATTGGGTGGTATTTCTGGCTAGTTTTTAAAGGAACAAAAAGAAAACCAGCTCACTTTCCTTCTTAAAGGACTCACCTTTACAGTTCACTTCAATTTTTTTCTAATTCTCTAAGAAGTTAGCAGCACTCTGCCTTATACCAACAGTGTTGGAAAGTTAATGATACTCTGGTTAGGGCAGAATGTTGAGGACCATCCTGGCAGAGTTCCAGTGATGCCCTTTTATTCTGTTCCCAAATATAGCACAGTGTCACTAGTTTTTCCAAATTATATCTCATGTGGCCTGATTACAAAATTATAAACCTTTTGGGAGATTTAGGTGATAGTGAAATAGGAAAAAGAGGTCCAGGTGTCAAGGGAATATTGACATTTCAAACTAATGCTTTAATAGCTTGTTCACTTGATATTTATTTCCTTCTTTATTCTCCAAAACGTTTAACAGCTGGTAAAATTCAATTCCTATTTCTAAGTTCATTGATCACAGGATGGAGATAATGAAAGACACAGAAGTGGAAGCCTGTCTTTAAGGAGAAAAGAAGGAACATTTCCTATATGCCTACTATGTGCCAGGCACTTGCATTTGCATTTTCACTTAATCGTTTTTCTCACTTAGTCCTCATTACTCTTTGAGTTTAGGCATTACCCCTTCTTTTATAAAATTAAGGAAATAGCCTCCCTGAGGTTAAGTATATTGCTGGAAACAGCATTAAAAATAATGTTTCCTTTTACTCCAAAGTGCATGTTCTTTCTACTTTATCATGTTGCTTTGATATAAATTCCTTAGAATTCATTGTCCTTGGGAAGACAGGAAAAATCCATATGAAGCAGGCTCAAGTAATAAAAACGCAACTCTAACCACCTCAGGCAAAAATGGGAATGAATGACTGGTTCATGGACAACCATCCTGGCATGGAGCTGGGGTGTGGCCAGGCCTCAGGACTCCTGGGGCCAGGGTCCCTCTGACTGCACTCTGCCTCTCTTGGGGCTTCACTCACTCTCAGCACAGAACAACTCCTGGTTGGAATTCTGGCTCCTGATGTGCCTGAAAGTATGACTTCCTCTTCCACTCTAGGGCTCGACTGACTGCACTACTCTACTCCTAAGCAAGGCTCTGATTGGCCTAATTTGGGGGGCGGGGTGAGCATTTTTGGTAAAAGGGGAGCTGTGTCCCTACAAGAGGGGGATGGGTGGGCAAATTAAATGTTGTCTATCCTGTACGATTGAGGGGCTGGGTGGTGTGGAGAGCTCCCAAGTGCTTCAGACAGTGGGGGAAATCCTTGAGGAGAATACAGCAAGATCCACAGAGACCTTAGAACTTACACTGGACTTTAAAGGAGAGGAAGGGTTTGGATAGGTATGGAGAAGAGGAGAAATTAAAACTAGGTGAGGCAGAGAGCTTGCCTGAAAAGCAAGAACACCCAAGGAAACACAGTGGTTGGCCCATTTTGAGAGATCCTTCAACTTGAGTAATTTGAGGACATCAGTCACAGCTCTTTGACCAAGACAAACCTGTGAATGACAGGCAAATGCCTGGGTCTAACAGTACTTGACTAGAACCACAGGGGCACAGGGGCCAGAAGAACCATAGGGGCCATAAAACACATGGCTGGGGCAAATGATCCACCCAAAGAGGCCCCCACTCAAGGGCTTGAACCCAGGACCACCCCAGCCCACCATCGCAGCCCATCAGAAACTGGAATGGGGTTTGGAGTTACACTGACCCTTTTTTCTAATTCGACACCCTCTCTATCAGGTCAAGCATGGGCCTAGGAGTACCACTAGGACCACTGCATCTGCTCCCAGTGTCCAGACACCTCTGTGACACCATCAGCATTGACCTCATTGCACTCACCCCACACTACCAGAGTGGTGCTAGATACTCCCACCAGAACAGCACTCTTCAAACCCTGCACCGACCTGCCTCCCCACCTATACACGCTCCCATCTGTACTATCCATTGCACACCTCCTCCATTAGTCACTGGAATCTCCCATCTCTAAGGGCTGCCCAGCTGCTGCCTTTCCAGAGTGCAACCACCATTTGTATTCTGGAGTGAACAGCTCAAAACCCTCCATGTCCACAAAGCCGCCTACCTAGTGCAGAGACTGATCGTCCTCAGACTGAGTGTATTAATGGGTAGAGGGATGCCACCTTAAGTCCTCCTCCAGGCAACATGCCTGGGCCCCTATCATCCTGGGCATCATGAGACAATTTGCTACTCCTCCACCCAGAACTCTTTGGTTCTAACCTCTCATGTCCCTGCCTCTACCAGAACTGCTGTCATCTCAACAGCTTGCTAGTATTTAGAGGAGTGATAGGCCACTTGCAGACCTCCAGAAAATATGACTCCAAGAACCACCCACCTAAGTGAAGTCTGTAGGCCTGCCACCTGGCTTTCTCAAGGTACCAGATGTCCTCAGCCTTCAGGTCCAGCAATTCCCAGTCATGTAAGTCCACCCCATCTATCACTGATTTTTGTTACATCCAGTCTGCCAATAACCTGCCCTCCCCTCCAGCCCACATGTGCATATATGTACACACACATCACACACACTCCAGCCCCCAGCCCTCATCACCTACAGAATGCAACCTGTGTATGTCATCTAAGAGACACTGTTCTGTCAGTGTCTGTTTCTCCCATGTCAAAAAGAGCCCAGAACTTCCCCTCCACTAAAAGAACTCAGAGAAATCCCACTCTACCTGCTGAAGGTGAGGGAACAGGCAGGGGCTGCCTCCTCCACTCCTTTGAATGAATTGAACCCTCTCAAGCACAAGTCACAGACAACACAGAAAGATCAGCCACAGAGAACCACTGTGTCTATTTTTTTGTGAATTTTCCCAAGATGGATCTACTTACCCCCTCAACCTATTTCTCTTTTCTTTTTATCTCCCCGAGTCTGATTTCCTGGTTTTCTTCCTTTGCGTCTTGTGTTATTTTCTGACACTCCTTATTTGATTCTCTTTTTAAACCTCTTTACAGACCTTGCTCCTTGTCTGCCTGCCCTCCCACCATCCAGCTCTGTAAGCTCCCTTTTCCTTTCTACCATCTCACCTGCCTTACCAAAGGAGCAGGATGACTTGTTTTACAAGTGTTTTCAAGTGCATAGGAATCACCCAGGAGTCTATTTAGAATGCATATTATGATTCAGAAGTTCTAGGGTGAGGTCTAATACTCTGCATTTCTATCATCAAGCTGAATGCAAAAAGTGCTGGACTGCAAAGATGCTGCTGGACTCCAAACCGCACTTGGAGTAGCAAGACTTAGTGCCTGACCTAGTACTGTGACTCCCACCTTTCACTGCCACTAACGGGAGAAGGCAGTGCTGGAGGTCGGTGACGATCAGCAACTAGTGGCCCTTGCATATAGCTAGGGCACTAGCTAGCATGTAGTTAGGTGTACGGCAGCATGTTAGTCGGAGCTGCTTTATGGCACTATCCCACGAAGTTGCTCCAATTGATGGAGGCACCAGCCCTTCTCCTTAGAACTAGTTCCAACTTGACAGAGAAGCAGAAAGTGGGTCTGTAATCAACTACATTTCCTGCTGTTTTCCTCCCTTCTCCCCAGCAGCAATTTTTCATTGTCCTCCCCACACCCACCATCTTAAGTACGGTTCAGATTTTAAGGCCTGGGTTCAAACCCCAACTCTGCCACCCGCTTACTAACCGTGCCACCTTGGGCAAGTTCTTTAACCCTCTGAGCCCCAGTTTCCTCATCTGGATGATGAGCCTAGTAAATAAGATACCGTGTGTGAAAGCTCATCGAATACTAGCCGTTGCACCTTCGCCTATTGTTTGCACTTCTCCCTTCCTCGTCTACCCTGTTTTTCTAGCTTAGCCTCAGGCTCGCTCCACCAGTGCTCTTTGTCCCTCCTTAAGAATTTTTGTACGTACTTAATACCATGTTACAGCAAGATCACAATTGTTACAGCAAGATCACAATTTTGTTTACTATAAAAGAACGGCTAGAAGTAAACGTGAAAGGGAAGGGAGCTGGTATTCAATTTCTTCGTATCTTTTTCCCCAAAATTTTCAAACGAACAATATTACTTTACTAAACTCAAAAAAAAGGCAAGATTATAACCTTACAGGAACAGGCAAAAAAATTAAGCTTTCACACTCTACTGAAAGGAGGAGGGATAGAAAGAAAGACGCCGGGGCGCCACGGCCGGGGGCCAGTCACGCGGCGGCCCCTCACCTCCGCGCGATGACGTCAGTCACGTTCTCCTCCCGCCCGCGCCGTTGCGGCCCGTTTGGCGGCTCTTTCTTCCACCAGGCGGCGCCGCAGAACGTTCTGTTGCCGTCGCCTCCTGCGCAGTCGCACTGCCCGCCCACCACCCTCCCGACACGTCACCACCTTCGCGTCTTTTCTGGAGAGCGCGGGAAGGCGAGTGCTGGAGGGTGGTGACGTTACCGGGGTTCCCCGCGTGGCTCGCGGGGGCGGGGCCGGGGGCGTGTGTGAGAGGGGACGGGAGAGGGAGGGATGTGACGCTGAGCGCAGGCCCCGCTGGGGCTGACCGGGCCGCGCCCTCCTCGTGACCCACTGTGGGGCAGAGCCCCGGCCACACCGCCGGCCGAGCTGCGGGAAAGGTGCTGACGAGGCGGGCTCGGGCGGGGAGGGGCGCCGGGCCCTGCGCGAGGCTTTCCCGAGGTCGCTAGCCGGCCAGGTGGCCCCCAGGCGTCCCGAGCGCCGTCGGGTCCGCTTTTAGGCCGGCCGCCGACTTCCTGGCGCCCTGGGCGGCCGCGCCCTCGTGCTGGCGGGACCGAGCCTGGACTCCGGCCCCCGGGTCCTCCGGGGCAGCGGGGTGGCCTCGGGGCACGTGGGGCCGGGCCGCGCCCGCAGCTCCAGACCGCGCGGCTCTGCGGGGAAGGAGCAGCCGCGCCCCCGGGCCCGGGCCCTCCCCGTGCCGCCTCCCCGGTGTGGGCCAACCCTCACCGGGCTGCTCCGGCCGGGTGGGGAAAGAAAGAGCGTGGGCTCTGGAAGGAGACCTGGGTTTGAATCCTGGCCTGCCACTTCCGTTGCCTTGAGCAATTTGAGTCATTCAGTATCTCTGACTGTCGGATTTTCCCGTAAAATACAGATAGTAGCATCCACTTCACAGACTTAATAGTCTAGCACATGGTAGGTGGTCAGTCAAAATATAAAAATTCCTTTTCCACCTTTCCTCACCGGGTGCTTTAGAGCTAGTTTGCAAGGGCATTAATCCCTTGGTGGTCTTTAAAAGGCTTTATATGGTTCCGTGTACTGGCTGTTAACGCACAGAACCTTCCCTTTTCTTAGTATGAACCTCATAGCCTGCCCAGTGGCTTTGGAAGAAAATGGTGGCACACGGCTTGTATGTGACCTGATAAGTTGAACCTGGGGCCTGATCAAATTTAGGGCGGGGTGGTTTCTCTGGGCCTCAGCACCTGTGAAACTACTTAACTGAGAGACCACAGAATTCCCTGCTGAGAGCCGT